AACTCTATCAGTTAGCCTCATTTTTGGATGCCTTATCAAAATTTTCCACAAGATCTGGAACTTCATCATCATCATCCTCTCCAGTAGCAAGTGGTGCTTTTCCATCCACAGATAGTTTGGGCAGAGCTTCAGCCAGTCTTCTCAAACTAGTCAGACTGTCTGCGCCAAGCTGGTTTAAGATGCTGGGGAGCATTTCCGTCAGCTGCTTTGTCTCAGCGTGGCCGGTAATGGTGAAAGTGTTGGCTGCCAGAGATGCCTGAACTTTAGGATTGTTAAAGTGGATCACTCTGTTCCTTGGTTTGTGAACATATTCACCTCTTCAATACCAGAAATATTATTTACCCCTAATTTCTTTAAGGAGAACTGAAGTTTTTTTTTATCATCTGCTGTGGCTGTTCTATGAACCACCTTCTTCTTTCTGCCAGCAGTTCCTTTTCCACCAATGCGCACTTGTGCCTGCAGTTTGGCGAGTTTTTCTCGATTCATGATCCTTTCTTTCATCTTGTCAGAGAGGAAATGGGACCTCTTGGGGGACCAGGGCTGGCGCTCAGGAGGGGTCTTTGGCAGACCATCTGAAATTAGGCACACACACGCGGGGACGCAAGATGGCAGCTAGAGGGCAATAGTAATTTTTTTAAGTGAATTTTCCATAGATTATTACTGACTATTTTTTCACATTTAAATTCTCTCAAATTGTGTTATATCTGTCTCTGCAATGAAAAAAACATGGATTCACACTTCTGTTTTAGTATATTTTCATTCTTAGTGTTGTCTAAAATAATATTAGATCCTAAAATTGATGGCTTCTTTAGATTTGACAAAATCTGGTATTAATGTCAAAAAATTAATGTTACTTTGCTGCATGCGCAGTTACCTAACTTTCTATGTAGTGTCTGTTCCTGAAACATCCTCCAAACCAGGGTGTTCTCAGCCAGAGGTGATTTTACTTCCTACAAAGACATTTTTTATTGTCACCATTGTGGGAGCATGCTGCTAGAATTAGGGGGGAGAGGGGCCTGTATTACTGCTAAACATCCTACAGTGCACAGGACAGCCCCCCATAACAATAAATTATTTGGCATAAGAGGTCAATAGTGCTGAGATTGAGGAACCCTGCTATAGAGATGTCTGTGGACTTGAAAGAAATCATGTGTTTTTTAGAAGTGTATAAAATATGCCTCAACTTCTTTTGTGAGCAAAGGAGCTCTGGTATTGTTATTGGTTTATGCATCTGGCTGCTAACCACAAGGCTAGCAGTTTGAAACTGCTAGCCACTCTGCAGGAGAAAGGTGAGGTCTTGGAAAGATTTACAGTCTTGGAAACCTTATACAGGGTTTCTGTGATTCGGAACCGACTCCGTAGCACATAATCACCACTACCACCTTTTGTAAACAAGGTACTTTGTGAAATTCTGTGGAGAAATCAAAATAACGTATAATTTGCCCTTTTTCAGAAACAGTTTATAATATTTGCTTTTTCCACAAAGTTAGTCATAAAATCCCAACTGGTCAAAATCAATAATTAGAAGCATCACAGCTTTTTTTTTTTTTTTTTTTTTTTAAAGTTGTTGCTATTGAAAATTAGTGAAATGCTAGATACATACCTGTTTTTAATTTAGCAAAGAAGTGAGAATATTAATTAATCCTTTGCAGTTGTTTGTGAGAAACCTACTTTTCTTAACTAGTTTGAATGAATTTTGGCTCCTTAGAAAATTAAATGTCGTCAGAGGACCGGGAAGCTCAGGAAGATGAATTGCTGGCCTTGGCAAGTATTTATGATGGAGATGAATTTAGAAAAGCAGAATCTGTCCAAGGTGGAGAAACCAGGATCTATTTGGATTTGCCACAAAATTTCAAGATATTTGTGAGCGGTTAGTCACAATATTCTCTTGAACAAAATTTTTATTTCTAAAAAATGATTATTCTCAGTTTCTGAATGTACCTTAAACTCATTAGTAGTAGCTATTAATAATATATTATAGCATTAATGCATGTTTTTGTCTTAGTTGAAAATTGAATGGGGGTAAGCTGTTTTAAGTTTGATTCCTCCTTTTTGACCACTAAATTAAAGTATTATCCTGTGTATTTTCGCATGCTAATCTTCACTTTAACTAGCAATTTATCAGCGATGAGTCACTGCCTGTTAGGTAGGGATAATGAAATAGTACATAAAATAGTCCTCACTTATTGACTGTCTCATTATCTGACATTTAGTATTTACAACCATAGTAAAAAATCTATCCATCTGTTTTACACATTAACGACTTTATGTCTGGCAGTGTCGAATTGTGAGGTCCTAGCTACTCTTTGGACACCCTATACAGGGTCACTATGGGTCGGAATCGACTCGACAGCACCTAACAACAACAACAACAGTCAGGAATAGGAGCCCTGGTATGGCGTTGTGGGCTAATGTATCAGACTGCAAAGCCGTTTGAACTGCAAGGTCAGCAGTTCAAGCTCACCAGCTGCTCCTCGGAAACCCTATAAGGGTCTCTATGGGTCAGAACTGACTCGATGGTACTTAACAACAACAACAAGGCAAGAATAATGCTGGAGCTAATGGTTAAGGATGTGTCAGTTTGGCTGGGCAATGATTATCAGTGGCTTGACAGTTCTGTAATGATGTAATTTGGCAGTTTGTTTAGTGATGTAGTCATCCTCCATTTTGTGGTTTGATATGGTCATCCTCCATTTTTTCATAGTACCAATTTTCACATAATAACCTGGTCTTCGGAACTTAGCCATGGTGCTAAGTGAGAAGCAGGTATAGTGTATGTGAAAACATGGAAAACTTTCAGGTACCATTGTGCTTGTTATACTTTGGTTTCCAGAGTCATTTCAATTCCATACACATGTGACCTTTTACTTTAGAAAAAATAATACTGCTGCTTTTGATAATAACGTTCATAGAAGCCCTTGATTTACATTTTCTCAAAATGTTTTTACTATAAAGGCATTGACTAAAGAAAGTAAGTGTGAAAATTGAAATGAAACTTTGATCGTGAGAGTGTTATGTGTTGTAGCTTGCCCTCAAACCTGAGATCTTTGTGTTGGGACAGATTTCCCCAATTATATGATTTATGGTTGTTGTCACATGCCGATATAAGTAGATCATGACTGCTTGTAGAAATAAACACTGTTTTCTCTGAATGTGTCCCCCACCCCCACCGAATGTGTCTTTAATGGTCTGTAAAACAACAACAAAAAATTGTATGTTATCATTAGTGTTAGGAATTGTACTCAAAGTGTTTATAAGAATAAGTTGTGTGTGATGAAGGTGATAAAAGTTAATTTAAGGAATAGAGTAGTGCTTTGGGGGAGAACATTTAGCCTATCACCTAAAGCATGTCGTCTTGAGCACTGCTTAACAGTATTGGACACTCAAGTGCTGACCAACTGATCCTTTCTAATTTTTGTTTTTGGTTCAGGCAATTCAAATGAGTGTCTCCAGAATAGTGGCTTTGAATACACCATTTGCTTTCTGCCTCCACTTGTGCTGAACTTTGAACTTCCACCAGATTATCCATCCTCCTCCCCACCTTCATTCACACTTAGTGGCAAATGGCTGTCACCAACTCAGGTTAGACCCGGAAGTTAATTTCTCCTATCCATTTGTAGAAACTTTAAAAAAAAAAAATCTTTAATGGAAAACTATAATATTGAATTCAGTGCATGAAGAACAAATGGCTTTGATTTTGTGAATTTTTTTCCCCATGCATTCATGAATCCTAATGGTAATGAATTGAAAATACTTTGGTGTTGTAGAGTGGAATGGCAGTAATTAATGCTTCTAATCACTATGGTTTGCAGTAGGAATAATTTTTAATCAAGTGTATTGTTTCTATCTTTCTATTTTCCCATTTTAATTGGTATTGTAATGAACACTATGAGGTCCTTCTCATTTTCCTCAGATTTTGATGTCCTGTTTTACCCCTCAGTTTCTTATTCCTTAAATGAAAGATTTAATTGTAATTAGGAAAATTAACTGAAAATTAAGCTAATGCTGTTATAATAAACTAATTTCCTATTTTACTTTAAAAGATCTGTCTATTAATTAAAAATCTTAGTGAACCACTCTCACATAGATCTACATACACAGAAATAGAAATGTGTCCCATTCCTGTAGATCATCTCAGTAAGGGCACACACATGATACTAAGAGCCTTCATTTCCTCCATATTATATTTCCTTTTCCAGTCTAGTGACAGCCTCAACTCTTGATTGAGACATAAGCATAACTTGAAGCTAATTTAAAATATTCTGGGATAGATACTAGATCAATAGCAGTTCCTTTTCTAGAAATCATGATGAAGATTGATAGACTGCTATATATTAAGACAAAAGCTGTCAAGAGTTGCTGACCTTAAGGAATATAGCCTGTCAGTTTTTCCTTTTTGATCCTGTAGTTTTCATTCACTACTCTAATCTTTTGCATAATTGAGCTAATGGTTTAATAACAGAATTGAACTTTAAAAATGATAGTGCATGCAGAATGAAAGGAAATATTACTTTATATTCTAATATACAGGATTGCTATGAGTTGGAATCAGCTCAGTGGCACTTAACAACAGTCTGTGCTCGAAGCAATGCAAGAGAAGATAGTGGATTATATGAACAAGAATATCAAGGCTGGTTGACATTTAGATCACTGAGACTTGACTTAATTGTAGAGATATTGGTAGCCATTTCTCCAGAGAGCTCTTGATGCTTTATACTCCTGTATAGATGTGTGTGTGTGTATGTGTGTGTGCATACATAAATACACACACACCAGGATTAGTTTATGTGGTTGTACCTTCATATTCCAGCCAAATAGCATCTACTTATTGCTGACTTTTGTGGGGAGAAGAGCTTATATTAATTTATGTTTTAAAGCTAAAATTATAGTAGGATTCATTATCAAATTTTTATGTTTAGTTGGCATTTTAATTGGTCTATGTCCCATGGTTCAGTTTTTGTTTGTTGGCTGGGCCCTGATTCATTGACATGAATCACACCTTTTGATAGAGAAGTTGATACATGGACCTGCCATTCACTGAATTGGAGTGTGGGTATTTTCTTGTGTCGCCTCCCCTGACCCCCAGTGTACATACACACAGTCTCTTTCTTGCTTACACTTTTTTCCTCACTTTGTCTCTTCCCTCACAATGAATGTGCATCCCTTTTGAGATAGGATGGAAAAAAAATGAGGATGGAGAAGAATGGTTTCTTCAATGAATCTTGTGGTTAACACAATACTCAGAGCTCCCCTTTTAGTATTTATTACATTTTGCAGACTTCAGCAGAGTTTCTCAAAAACAAGTTTGACCTTGTGCATATTCATGCATATGTGACAGAGTGCTAGTTGTCTAGTCTTGAACTTTTCCACAAGTGTTTGCGTACCTGTGCAGGGTTTAGTGAAGAGCCACAAGGAAAACAGAAAGTGTGATCTTTTTTCGTTTGTTATTGCAATTTTCAATATTTGTTTGTCATCTGGAAGAGTTATTTTTAGATGTTTACATGAAACTAAAAGCTGTTTATGGTTCTTGAGCTCAATTTACAAATATTTTACATATCTAATGGAAAATCCTCTTATATTTACCTTTCAAATTGAACAGACCACTTTTTAAGGAGGAAAGTTTAAATAGTTTAAACTTGGGTTGCTTAACTTGGGTCATGTGAGCTTTTCACATGGCAGGCAGACCATGTTGAGATTGTATAATTATGTCCTGTCTGCTTCTGTCCATTAACCAGGACCTGATGTAAGCCCAGATTGCCTAGTTAAAACCAGTTTTAACTAGTTGAATGAATACATGAACACTGTTAGTGATTCTTTCATGTGAGTTGGTGTTTTGATGGAACTGAAAGTCATAATTAACTTAAAAACTTGGTAAATATATTTATTGTAACCATTATTTCATGACACCCACAAAGCTAGGATTCCAAAGGAATAGGAAAATTTAATTGTGGAACAAGGTCTCTTTCTCCTAAATGAGATGTATAGCAATATTGGAGTGGATAAAAAATAGGAAACATTCTGCATTTCAGTGGCTCTTAAATAACTTCTAGTTTTCCCTCACCAGTCATGAAGTCTTGGCACTTCTCTTGTTTTCATGGTCCTTCTAGCTTCTGAGTTTGTTGTGGTTGAATAGACTAAGAAATGCTCCGCTAAGAGTATTGGTGCTATTTTTTAAAACACAGTTTGTAAAAGCAGTTAAAAAGTAGAGTCAGGGCCTAACTTACAAGTTAAGAAGGTTTAAAGGAAAATCAGGAGTTGGTATCATCTCTTCTACATCCCTAGCATCTTCATTTTTTTTTTTCTTTCTCCTAGCTTTCTGCTTTGTGCAAACACCTGGACAATCTGTGGGAAGAATACCGTGGCAGTGTGGTCCTGTTTGCCTGGATGCAGTTTCTTAAGGAAGAGACTCTTGCATACCTCAATATTGTCTCTCCTTTTGAGCTCAAGATGGGTTCTCAGGGAAAAATGCAGAGAAAGGCAGTGCAAGCCTCACCCAACACAGAACCCGATTTTGGAGGGGCTGCTGGATCTGATGTAGACCAAGAAGAAGCCATAGATGAGAGAGCCGTGCAGGATGTGGAATCATTGTCAAGTCTGATCCAGGAAATCTTGGACTTTGATCAAGCTCAGCAGAAAAAGTGCTTTAACAGTAAATTGTTCCTGTGCAATATCTGTTTCTGTGACAAGCTGGGTAGTGAATGCATGTACTTCTTGGAGTGTAGGCATGTATACTGCAAAGCCTGTCTGAAGGACTACTTCGAAATCCAGATCAGAGATGGCCAAGTGCAGTGCCTCAACTGTCCAGAACCAAAGTGCCCTTCGGTGGCTACTCCTGGTCAGGTAACTGCTTACTCTGCTGGCAGCTGCTTAATTCTCCCTTACGAGAGGAGCTATCTTCTCAGGAGCTTCCTTGATAAGACTTACCAGAGCAGTCTGAGGCTGTGGAGCCAGCCCACAATTTGTTTCTCTGTATCGAGAATTCTGGGGTCCATTTTGTTGTTAAGTGCCATCAAGTCAGTTCTGACTCATAGTGCATTTAGGCAAATGTCAGTGTTTCCTTTGCTGAACTTACATATGAATGAAAAGTAATTCTGGTTATTTATTGTATATCTGATAGGGTCCTATCAAGGACCCCTGGTAGCACAGTAGGCTAAGCCATGTGCTCCTGTCTGCATGGTGGGCAGGCGGTTCAAGCCCACCAGATGAGACTGCCTGGTCCCGTGAAGATTTACTGTCTCAGAAACTTATGGAGCAGTTGTACTCTGTCCTCTCTGATCTCTAGGAGTTGGAATCGACTCAATGGCATTGAGTGAATGAGGAGCCCATTAACCTTGGGGAAGCGCTTCTTAGCTTTTTATGTGATTGGGATCTGCAAGGGTCATCTCTTGGAGTTGTTAATAAGGACAGCCCACTTGGCATTGATTTTTGTTTTTACAAATTTTATTAAAGCCTAATTTGACTTACAGTAATAAGTACCCACTTAAAGTTTTCCGTTTGCTTAGTTTTAAGTAATGTGTTGACCCTTGTACCTACCACCTCAGCTAAGACTATTTCCATACTTGACTCAATTTTGGTAGTAAGACAGGGTATTCATTTATGTGCACATCTGGTTTGTACCAGCATTCCTAGGATCTCTTAAGAATCAGAACTGGTCCAGAAATCATCAGACCTGTAGTGTTTTGTATTTCCCTCCAGGTCAAAGAGCTAGTGGAAGCTGAGTTATTTGCCCGTTATGACCGCCTTCTCCTCCAGTCCACCTTGGACCTGATGGCAGATGTGGTATACTGCCCCCGCCCGTGCTGCCAGCTACCTGTGATGCAAGAGCCTGGCTGCACCATGGGCATCTGCTCCAGCTGCAATTTTGCCTTCTGTACCTTGTGCAGACTGACCTACCATGGGGTCTCTCCCTGTAAGGTGACAGCAGGTAGGTTGTGGCCAAGTCAACTGAACTCCCTCCCCCCCCCCCCCCCCCCCCCCAAAAAAAAACCAAAAAACCTTTTCAATTTGGAGCGATTCAGTAAATACACTTTTGGGCCAGTTACTGTCCTAGGTGCTGGAGATAACAGTAGTGACTTAAAGAGACAAAATGTCTGTCCTCATGGAACTTGCTTTCTAGTGAGAGAGGCAAGCAAACAAAAGAAATAAGGATATGAGGTCGTGGTAAGTGCTAAGGAGAAAAATTAGAGCAGGGATAAGATATGAAATGTTCTGAGTGGGAGGGGGTTTGGGATTTTAGTTAGGAAAACAAGGGGAGGTCTTATTGACAAAGTGGTTTGAATAAAAACTGGAAGGAAGAAAGCAAGCCAGGCCAAAATCAAGGAGGAACATTCCAGAAGAAGGAGTGGCAAGGTACTTTCTATGAACATGGAATAATGTAGACCCTGGTTGCACATACAGAGTATCTTGTTTCCATGGCACATACTTCAGATCAATCATCAGTCATGTTCTCTCACTAAGCCTGTGAAGCCCTCTGAATCTTCCTCAACACAATGCTACAGAAAGCTGTTTAAGTAGGCATAGGAAGTGAAAGCCATTTACCCTTTCTGATCTAGATAACTGGGAACTGAGATCCCTGACTTTGATTTAACTGGACTTTGGGTAGCTAATAATAATACCTACTTCATAGGTTATTCTGAAGATGAATGAACTGATCTTGTCGAAGTTGTTAAGTTTGTTTTCCCAGTCTTTGACGAGATAAGTATAGAAATCGGGGTTAGAAACTTTTTAGCAATTTGACAAAATAATTTTTTGCAAATTTAGGCTAGCATTTTTAACCCTTTTAATAATACATTATTTTTTTATTTTATAAAAGAACTAGTGCAAAAATTAAAAATACATATCTATTGACCCATAACAGATTGGGGGAGGAACTGGCTCTTCACCAGAAGTGGTTTGAGATAGCAAGTAAAATACAGCTTTGGAAACCCTGTGGGGCAGTTCTGCTCTGTCCCAGAGGATTGCTATGAGTTGAAATCAGTTTGAAGGCAGTGGATTTCATTTTGAGTGTAATCTTATCATTGAGAGGCTGAGATACCTTACAGGTGTTTAACAACATTTGGGGAAGAACTCAAAGATGCCATAGACTTGGGGACTTCAACAAATTAGGAAGATACACACATAAAATCTGTGAACTAACAATTTTATCATTTTGAGAATATTAACGCAATAACCTTTTGTCCTTAAGATGTGTTGGAACACAAAAATGCTTTGAATTGCTGTTGTTGTTGTTGTTAGGTGCCATCGAGTCGGTACCGACCTGTAGCAGTCTTATGCACAGCTGAATGCTAGATGGATAAAAATGTCAGTATAAAAGGTCCATGTTTGCTTCATCTAAGGAGCCATGATGGAGCTGTGGAATTGCACAACACAGGTGAAGGAAAAAGTGTGACTAGGCTTTTGCCCCAGGTGATATCCACTGTATAGAAGGGGAAACTGACCTCTAAATAGTATGGGGGAAGTAAACTGGTAAAGGGAGCTTGGTGACTCTGTAGAATGAGCACTGGACTGCAAACCACAAGGTTGGTGTTTCGACCCCACCAGCCACTCCATAGAAGAAGGATGTGGCCTGTTCCTACAAAGAAACCCTATCTAGGGTCTCTATGAGTCAAAACTGACTCGACAACTCTTAACAACAACAATGAGTTAATAAAATAATGAGGATATTATTGATTGTGACTCATAGTGACCCTATAGGGCAGAATAGAACTGTGCTTTGGGTTTCCAAGACTAAATGTTTGCAGGAGCAGACTCTCATGTTTCTGCTGCAGCGTGGCTGGTGGTTTTCAACTGTGGACCTTTTGGTTAGCAGACCAACTCTTAACTCAGTGCATTCCCAGGACTCTTTGTTGAGAGAGGTTTTGAAGCTAATTAATAGCATTCAAAAATTAAGGTAATTAACCCTTTTCCTTTATTTAATAAATAAAAATGTTCTTCAGAAGATGCTTCACGCAGGAAAGGACCAATGTCATAAGTCCATAAGACACATAAGAAAATCATATTTATAATTTTAAAATATCACCCCTGAAAATATGATTATTTGTAAAATTTTAAAGTGACAGCACACATCGTGATTGGTAGCAGTGTATCCCTAGACTGTAGCTTAAGCAACTGTGGACTCTGTGGGCTAAGAAATAAATTTGAAAACTACCTTTCAAGACCTAATGCCTTTGTATGCAGAAGGACTCTGGTATTCAGTAAAATAAACACCATTAAAAACAAAACAAAAATTAAGGTAATGGAATTGTGCAAAAAGCCCCTTGTCTATAGGTAAAACCTTTGAGATTGGTTGCCTTTTCCAGTTGAGTTTAATAGTAGAGTAATAGAAGTCAGATTGAAGCATATCCAGGGGAAACGTAACAGGAGGAACTTTTAGCACCTGTAACAAAGCATAGCACAGGGTGAGACTGAGGGGTGATCATTTTATTCACTGATTTTTTTATACACAAAACCAAACAGTCAGTTGTTGCCCTTAAGCCATAGGCGCTTTTATGGACTGCCTAGGCCTTCCTCGTTACCAAATGATAAATGATGCCAACCTAGTAGAACATCATTAAACATGTCTGTTTCAGCCAGTGTGTCTTTTTAGATGATCAAGTCTTTAACTGTATACTATTTATTGCATAAATAACATCAACATTAATAAAATCAAAGAGGAAAAAACTCCATTATCCTACTACTATTAGCAAATCTATCTTTTTTATTTGAGGGGGGATTCCTTCCATTCTTTGTCTGTGCATGTATAATTTTTACATGGTTGTAAAATAAGTAAGATTTTTCTCTGAGTTCTACAATGAGCATTTTAATTGTGTTATAATTACAAGTTTCTCATAACTGAATATTATTAAATGGCTCTCCCATGCATAACTATTCCCCAAGGCTTTTAATTTGTTTTCCATTATAATCTGCATCTCTATACATGTGCCTTTTACTTTGAATTATTTCCTTATGATAAAGTCCCAGGAATAACATTGTTGAGTAGTCAAGGTTATGACCATTTTTAATGGTTTTTAGTCAGCTTTGCAAATTTGCATAAAGATTAATTTTCCATTTCACTTTCTAGATAAGTTAATAGATTTACGAAATGAGTACCTGCAAGCAGATGAGGCCAATAAAAGATTTTTGGAACAGAGGTATGGTAAGAGGGTGATTCAGAAGACACTGGAAGAGATGGAGAGTAAGGAGTGGCTAGAAAAGAACTCAAAAAGCTGTCCGTGTTGTGGGACTCCCATACAGGTAATGATTTTGGGACAGACTTGGAAGTAAACAGATTTGCAAACATGTTAAAACACATTTAGTATCGATTAAACCTTTTCATTTAGAAGATGCAAATTTGTTACTAAATATTCCTTAAATGTATGTAGATTTCCTTTTCAAAGTGCATTTACACTGGGACAGTTGTTTTCACATTATGAAAACACAACCACCAAACCAGTCACCATGTAGTCAGTTCTGACTCATGGCAACCCCATGTGTGTCAGAGTAGAACTGCTCCATAGGGTTTTCAAAGGCTGTGATGTTTTGGCAACAGATCACTAGACCTGCCTTCTGAGGCACCTCTGAATAGAATCAGACTACTGATCTTTTAGTTAATAGCCAAGCACTTAACTATTTATGCCTCCCAGGGAATCTTTCTCAAATTATAGTCACCTGAAACTTGGATGGTTTAGGAGGAGGCCATCCTAGAGTTACAATCAATCTTAACTCACCTGTCATTTTAAAAAGAAAAATCAAGTGTGATTTTTCATCAGAACTATTTCTGCTGAACTGTTGTGAAGTGTCCTCAAATTGTCTCCTACTCATAGTAAGCCTGTGTAGGGATTCTGAGGCTTTAAATCTTATAGAGAGAAGAAAGCCTCATCTTTCTGCCACGGAGCAGCTGGCAGGCTCGATTCTCGATCCTGGTTGTTCACTAACCAGTGGTTATCATATAGAGCCACGGTGCTCTTGCTGAGCAGTTTTCTTGTTGTTAAGTGCTATCTAGTCGGTACTGACTCATGGTGACCCTCTGCACAACAAAATGAAACACTGGCCTTTGCTGCATCAACCTCACAGTTGTAGCTACAATTGAGCCCATTGCTGCTGCCATTGTGCCAATCCTTCTTGTTGGGTTTTTCTCTGACCTTCCAGTTTACAAAGCATAATGTCCTCCTACAGGGACTGGTCCCTCCCAATAATATGTCCAAAGTAGGAGAGAGAAAGTCTGACCATCTTGGCTTCTAAGGAGCATTTTGGCTGTACTTCTTCCAACACAGATTTATTTGTTCTTTTGGCATTCCATGGTACTTTTAATACTCTCCTCTAACATCACAACTCAGATTCATCACTTCTTCTATGGTCTTCTTTATTCACTGTCCAAGTTTCACATAAGATTATTGAAAAATAACAGGCTTGGGTCAGGTGTACTTTAGTGCTCAAATTGATATCTTTGCTTTTGAACACTTTAAGGGTCTTGTTCAGCTGATATGCCCAATGCAATATGTTGTTTGATTTCTTGACTGCTCCTTCCATGAGTGTTGATGGTTGATCCAAGCAAATGAAAGTTCAATCTTTTATCAGTTTATCTTGATGTTATTTATTGGTCCAGTGATTAGGATTGGAGGGTTGGAGGATTGAGGTGTAACCCATACAAAAGGTTATGGTCTTTGATCTTCCTCAGTAAGTATTTTAAGTCCTCTTGCAGCAACAAGGTTGTATTATCTGCATATCACAGGTTGTTTAATGAGTCTTCCTCCGACCCTGATGCCACATTTTTTGTCATATAATCAAGCTGCTTGAGTTTTTCCTCAGCATATAGATTGCACAAGTATAGTGAAATAATGAAAGCCTGGCGCACAGCTGTCCTAATTTTAAACGAGTCAGTGTTGCTTGTTCTGTTCAAACAACTGCTTCTTAGTCTATGTATAGGTTCCTCATGAGCACAATTGTTTCCAAATACTCATTCTGTATAATGTTGTCCATAGCTTGTCATGATCCACACAGTCAGAAGCATAGATAAACATCTTTCTGGTATTTTCTGCTTTCAGACAAAATCTATTTGACATTAGCAGCTATAGCCAGATGGAACACATAGAAATCAAATTGACTACATCTGTGGAAAGAGAAGATGGAAAAGTGCCATATCATCAGTGAAAACAAGGCTAGGGGCAGACTGTGGAAAAGACCATCAATTACTGATGTGCAAATTCAAACTGAAGCTGAAGAAAATGAAAAAAAGCCCTCGAGAGCAAAAATATGACCTTGAATTTATCTCACCTGAATTTAGAGACCATCTGAAGAACAGATTTGATGCATTAAACGCTAAAGACCGAAGACCAGAAGAGTTGTGGGATGACATCAAGAACATCATA